AAGCTAGTGCTCTACCACTTGAGCCACAGCGCCACTTCTGGCTTTTTTCTTTTTGCTTATGTGGTGCTGAGGAATCGAACACAGGGCCTCAGGAATGCAAGGCAAGTGCTCTACCACTGAGCCACCTTCTCAGCCCCAACTATAGGAGATTTCTTGCTCTATTAACTTACCAATAGTGTGCATATATCCATATGCTCTTTTATTTCAGCTCTTTTAACAGTATACTTTTTTTTTCCCCATGGTACTTGAACCCTGGTCCTGAGGGCTGTCTCTGAGCTCTTCAGCTCAAGGCAAGCACTCTGCCACTTAAGCCACATTGCTGCTTCCGGTTTTCTGGTGGTTAATTGAGGAAATAAGAGTGTCATGGACTTTGCTGACTGGGCTGGCTTTGAACCAGAATCCACAGATCTCAGCTTCCTGAGTAGCTAGGATTACAGGCATGAGCCACCAGCGCCTGGCTTGCATTTAATTTTAAAATAGCTAAAATGGTTATTTTTTCTGAAATAAGTTCTGAATAAACTTTTGCTGCTGCTTAGAAAACCACCAATTTGCTTGTTTAGATTTAGAAAATTTTTATTAGATAACTTGCAGAAATGTCTGAAGTTACTATCTACTGTAATCTTTGATCTAGGATGATTATTTAATTCTATCAACTAAACCTTTTTACATGACTTTTGGTAATCAAGGAATTATATTACATACAGTAAGGGGAAAATAAATGAAATAGAGGAGAGGAAATGTGTTGGACTAATTAAAAATTCATTGTTAAGACTGGAAGAAATAGACTGATGCATAATTCAAAGCTCATTTGTTGCCATGGATCTTATGTTAATGCTTAACATTTAGTATGCATAGCTTATGGGACTAGCAGTTTATAACAGCATTACCTTGGATATTCGTTTCCCTCCCTGCTGTTACAAGAAATTATTGAGCCCTCCCATCGTTCCTGAAGACCAAAATACACCAGTAGGCATCTGCAGTGTTACCATTGATGACTTATGTCAAATTATGCCTGTAAGTATAACTTAATTAACTTGTCCTTTAATATCTCATCTGCACAGTCTTTTTTTTTCTAATGCTGTTCTTTTAAAATATGGTTCCTTCTACTTTAAAAGTTACTACATTTTTGCTTAGCTTCCCCTTCTATTAAGTTTTATTTTTTAAAGTCCAGATGTGATAAAATTCCAATTACCAATCAAAATAGAAAAGATAAGGTAGACCTTTCTTAGTCACCCACACTGTAGCATGCCTAAACCCTTTAAAAATAGTGGAACAGTCTGAGAAACAGTAATTTGAAACCTGGCTCTGCCACTAACTAGCTTTGTGAACTTGGATTAGTTACTAAACCTTTCTTGAGTTGTAGTTTCCTTATGCAAACATTAGGTTTTACTAAAAATTAAAACAGATGATAACAATCATATCAAATTTATACCCAGCCTAGATTATATAAAAATTATTTTAATGGAATGAAAATTGTATTATATGAAGTATATAAGAACATTCTAACCCATACTGTTCATTTTTTTCATAATTTTAAATAAAAGTATTATAAGTTTTGAATAATTTTTTGTGTGTGTGCTGGTCCTGGACTTTCTTTTCTTTAATTGGAGATAAGAATCTCATGGACTCTCCTGCCCAGGCTGGCTTCAAACCTCAATCCTCAGCTCTCAACTTCCTTAATAGCAAGAATTACAGGCATGAGCCACGGGTACCTGGCAACTTTGAATAATTTAAAAATACTATGTTAGGGGCTGGGAAGGTGGCTCAGTGGTAGAGCGCTTGCCTTGCATGCCTGAGGCCCTGGGTTCGATTCCTCAGCACCACATAAGC